TGGCCTCGGCATCAAGCCCGCTTGCGCGCGTTTAGCCCCTCATACGTTCCACATCCTTTTTGTTAGCCCCCCATTCGTTCCGCATCCTTTTGGTATGCTTTGTTGTCGAAACCCCTGCCACACGACCCGAAAACCGGGTGTCGACCAAGCACTCGCCCTCTGCGGTCGTGCCGGCCGCCGGCCATCTTTCTCTTTCGTCTTGGTGTTTTGTTTCCATCGGGAACACAAGGCGAAAGGGAGGAATACGGCCTTCTAGAAGGGACCCCTCTGTTTATGCATGGTTTGCGCACGCCTATGAACAGTCCCTCGGGGGGGGGGGGGCGAAGTGGGTCGCCCTACAGTAACCGTCTTGCCCTTCCCCTCGGCTCAATCTCCCTCCTCATCGTGCCAGTGTCGTTTAATGTTATGGGGTCGCGCCCAACGCTCCCCTTCTCTCCCGGCTATGACTCATTGCTGCTGTTTGTTGCCAAAAAACATCGTTTGTTTGTCGACCAGACAACCGGGGTGGCACGGTACCACGCCATGTGCTGATCCCTCTTCCAACTTGGGTGAGCTCAACCGTGTAACACAAACTGCTCCAGGCCAGGTCGTCTAGACTTTCTCTCGGCGAACTAACTCTTGACCATGATTTCAAACAACGCCCTCTTCGTCGGTCCCCAAACTCCTGCTGCTTCTATCTGGATTCGTCGATGAGGTTCGACGTGTACAGCGATCAGACCTTCATCCCAACGCGATATCATGTCATCTGCAAGGTGTTTGTACTTTGCTTCGACCAGTCACAGGTTTCGCAACATGGCACCATCCGCACCCTATTTGCACCCGAACCATGCGTCTTACTTGGAGGCTCGCGCGTGTACCGCGGAAGCCACCGCACTTGCTAGTCCAGCCGAGGGCCAACAGCTTGTACTAACTCCCCGCATCAGCACGGATTGCCCTTCTTCTTGTGGTCTGTCGTATGGGACCATGTACACCACCCACACCGCCATCAAGATTCCAACGAGTTCTACCAGGTCGATGGTGCTGTCCGATGATTCTCTCGCCAGAGCATCGCACTTTAGCTCGGATGACAACGCAGGGTCACTCGTCTACAGCAGTGCCAGGCCCATTCCTGAGAAAAAAACTCATATCACTTGAACACCATGCTTTTGAAATTTGGTTCTTACGAACCTGAGCTTATCTGGTGGACAAAGAAAGAAGTGGAGACAAAGAAATCACACAAAATACCGATCTCCCAACGCCAAGAAACCACATGTTTTTTGCTGTTGGACATAGGAATGAAGCAACGGCCGCTTGGCCATTGTCGCAGCTCGACAGCGATCAGGACCTCGACTCGATCCGTCTTTCGGAGTCCCCTCCAGCAATAACAAGACCGAGCGTCGATCAATGAAGCGTTGTGACTTCTTCGGGCATGGTTTGAGAATGCTCATAGGGTAGATCAATCGGGCGGCTGCCTCGCAAACCAGCCACATCTACGACTACCGTGTGGTGTTGTCATATGATCAAAGCGTCTTCAGGGTGGGTTGCCATGCACCTCACGCTGTAGCCGAGGCGAACGCGCGCCGTACGAGCATGGGCGGGCGCCGATCGACGGCCACGAATGAGTCGGCGCCACACCGACCGGCAGGGTAACAGTCCCCGGATCCACGACATTCGCAGCAACAACCAGGGATCAGGGTTAATACAATATGTTCGGGGCCACTGATTTGATTTTCAAAGAAGTAGTCCAGTAGTGCCGGTAGACATGCACACGCCAATGCGGGTGATACAAGTTTTGTCTTCAAAGGAGTCGGCGCACGTTACTGCTGGCAAACAAGACGGCAGAAGGAAAAAAAACAACGTTCTCCGCTAAAAGTATAAACGGGGGCATGAGAATTACGTCTCACATAGCTGCGGCAATAAGGTGCTGTCCTTCGCCAAAGTAGGTGTTTCTTACAAGTGGGCCGGCGCTGCATCTCCAGGAAGTCCCCGGCACGGAGTATGCATATGCACCTATCGCTGGAGTCTTAGACGGTGCATGCTTTACATGGATTGAGAACGACGCACTTGAGAGACTCCGCCCGTGAAGCCCCAGGGGCCGTCTTTAAACCTGTTGCACGTGCAACGTTACCAAACATGTGCTCCACACAACTTGAACATCATCAGGCGTCCTACCGCTCTCTTGGTTGTTCTGACAACATCTTCTCCAGCTCAGCGACGCGGGCTTCTAAGCGCTGCGCCCTTGCCTCTTCTCTGAGCCTCCTCTCTTCAAGTTGAGACAGGGAATTCTCCGATGCTCGTCCTCGCTCTTCCGCGGCTTTCAGGGCCTGCCTAAGCGCGAAGACCTCGCTATCATTCTTGTTATCCCTGCACCCTTTGTCTTGATCCTCTGCTGTAGACCCAACACCCCCGGCGGTGTCGGTCATAGTAGTGGCACCACCCGTTGTAGGAACACAATTTTTTGGGTCCGACGCTCGTCCCGGCGTTTGGCCCGGAGTAGACGTTGCCCTCGACGGTGACCCTACTACACTCGTGGTGAGCGGCGTCACTGGGGAAACACTGGTTTCCTCAGCAGTGGCGGTAGCAGGAGCAGCAGCCGACGAAATTTCAGCACATCGCCCTTGGTTTTTCCCCATTGGCGAGTGGTCCTGTTGCACAGCGTTTTTGAGGGGCGGGGAACCACCAGTGGGTAATAGTCACCGCTAACACTTGCCAACTCCGACAACAGTAACATATGAACGCCACAACCCAGATGGCCCCCCTCTTTCTCGCGCGGAAGCAAGCATGCAGGACCGTGGCAACAGCTGTATTTCGATCTTCCGGAGGAGCAGCATCAGACGAACACATCCGATCGTATTTCCCGCTGCTCAAGACAACCAGTGGGCAACGCCCGGTCGACAGCACCCGGGCGTACGGAGTGGAACGCCTTTCTCTCTGGACATCAGCGAGGCATTCTGATAGAAGATGAAGTTGCACGAAATATTTTATGCCTTTAGGGTGGACGAAGCAAGTGAGGTACACTTACCCGAATGCGATCAGCCGCGCTGAAGGAAATGCGCCTGGTTGCCTGGCCCCCCGCCTGGTTGCTATTTGCCCCATGGACGGCTGTTTCGGCATCGATCTCTCCAGCGTTTTTGTTTGTTACCACGACAGAAGGTAGTGGGAGAAGGGCACCAGGTTTGTGCGAGGGGGCTGTTGGCGATGACAGCAGTAGTGGTGCCGCTGCCGCGACCGACGCGCCGTTCATTGTTCCGGTGCCCGTGGCGTGTACAGCAGTTGCCATCAACGTTCGGGGTATTGCCGGGCACGACCCTCGGCGCTGCTTGGTGTTCTTCACTCTCGCGGCGTGCTCTTTCAGCAGGGTGCGCACGATCTCTCGAGAGTCCTCGCTCAAGTCGCTTCCTACCACGTCGCCCGGCGTCTTCCCTTCGGCATCCTTGAAGTTGGCGTCTGCCCCTCGCTTGAGGAGCAGCTCCACGACTGCAGCGTAGCCGTATCTGCGCAGACCCGTGTGGAGTAGAGGGTGGAGGGTTGGAAGATACAGCTACATGCAGTGCCGGCTCTCGCACGTTCCTCGAAGTCTGACATACAAGCACATCAGCCGATTGTTACCTAAACGATCGACCCTGGCCGTTCACTGAGGGGGGAGGGGGCATCGATGAGTGCGGATAGACACACAGATGGGAAAGGAGGGCACCCAATCGCCCGTAACTTCTTAGCGACCTAGTCTGGAGATTCGAACCCTTACATCCAAGTGCTTTCCACGGTTTGTTGTAGCGTGCTCTGGAATTCAGTGCCTGACGTAGTCCGCACGCTAGCACGTGTCAAGATCTGTAGAAGTACGCGTTTTTTCGATGTAACTATCCTACCTTACCTGCTTGTCGCCTCCGTCGACCCATTAGGATCTCGAATGCACAAATATCGGCACTATCGGAGTTTAAGCCGCTGGGAAGAACAATCAATGTAGGATTCGAAGTTGAATTTCGAGAAGCAAACTTGTTTCCCTCCCTACCCCGACTCTACGTATCCCGATGGGAATCCCCATTTTGTAAAGACAACACGCACTGCAGGTACGCCAAGGGCGACATCGTTGATGGTTGAGGAGTTGAGGAATCTATTCCGGTAAGACGATAGAAGAAGTGTGTATGTCGTACACCACAACAACGTCGTACACATGAAAAAAAGGCGAATGGGAGGCAAAATGCGAGACCAGGATATCATTTCGCTTTGGCGTTCCAATAAGAGTCTTGTAAGGTGCTTATTCGAAGAACGGGCCGGAAAAGCCTCCAGTTGAAGCACCGATAGCGTCGTTCGTACGATGCATGTCGCCAAGCCTACTATCTAGTTGATATCCACAGTAGATTACCTGTTACCCAGTCAGCCGCTCTGCTGTGTCGCTGCTTTCAGTTAACCAGCGGAAAACTCTGTTGGATGCTACACGTATACGAACATCCGCACCTCCTCTGACCTACGTTCTGCGGTCGCCACCGTGCGCTTTCGAAATGACATGGAGTTGATACTGCCGCAGGACTACCAATGTAGCTGTTCTTCGAGCATGCAGTGGCTGCTGCATTTCAAAAATACGAACATCGACCATGTAACTTGGCCTTGCTACAGTAGGGTAGGAAAAAACAACAACGGTCAATCTACGGACGGGTGCAACATCTACATTAGAGCAGTCCTGGCTCGGCGGAAACACCTTGTAGCCCAATGAAGCGGCGTGCGCCTGTTCTCGTCGACGGCCCTAGGGTTTCCCCCTCGGTCCAGCAACAGCTGGCAGCACTGCGGATGACCGTTGGCAGCCGCGACGTGCATCGCAGTCCACTTATCCCCGTCTTTCGCCTCCAGCGCCGCCCCACTTCGGAGCAACTGTCTAGCAACCTCAAGGTGTCCCTCTCTGACCGACAGCATCAGCGGGGTCCATCGATCGGGGTCTCTCTTGTCTATGATGCCCCCGGCTTTCAGGAAGGCTCTTACCTCGGCCAGGTTTCCATCTCGTGCCGCTTCGTGAATATCGATCTTGTTGCTTGCCATGTTCGTTGGCACTGCGTCGTGTGTTCGATTGTTTCGAGTGCTTCGCGCAACAGTTGTTGATTGGGCGCTGCGACACAGAAGCCCCGAGACAACCGCATAGAAATGTGCTTTCCTGTTATCCTGGTGCCCGCGATGCCTTCCTTCACCCCGTGGTAAGCGGGAGAGACCGTATGCTGGAATTCAAGGGCGGAACAAATCACCAAGGGGTGACGTGTTTGCATGTGCGGAGGTTGTCGTGCGGATGTTGTTCATCGTGGAAAAGATCCGTACTTCCAAACACGCAAGGCAACGACTAGCAACGACAATGAATAGTCTTTATGTCTTACGTACGTATACATAACATAGTAGCAGGTAGACTACTGATGTACCAGTAGTGCGTATCAAGTCGCATTTAAAAAAATACGGCAGTTTCGCAATCTTTGTCGAACCGCAACATCCGCCTCCCCCCTTCACGCGGCTGGTTCCCCTCACGTCCCCTGCGCGCCACACTATTGCTGTACGACGCAGGGTGTGCATGCACACGCAGATATAATAAGATCTCTATCTCCCTCTCTCGCTCGCTCTCCCTCGCTCTCTCTTTTCTCTCTCTCTCTCTCTCTTTCACGACCTGATGCTTGCCTATAGACTACTGTAGTCCATGAAGCAAGCAACAGCTCTGGGACTACTGCTGTAGACATGTATACATTACTGAATATTGGCTGAGTTTGTCTTCGTTCGATCGCACATGGCTCCCTACCGCTGCCCGCGCTGACATCAGCCCAGCCCGACGCCCGATGCGGCGCAACCACACAACGCGACCGCAAGCCACAAGCCACAAGCCACCACAAGCCACAAAAGCCACAGAGACCAGCGAGCCCAACGTAAATTTCTGTTGACGGTCCGCAGGACAGAATGACAGAATCCTGGGGCGGCGGAACGACGCCGTGACCTGTTCTTCGAATCGTTTCTCGGAACACCAGACAACGTCCCGAAACACAGCCCCAACTCGGGGTGCGGCATCGCAGTACAGTAGCAAGAGCCCACTTTGTTCCCACCCGCCCATAATGGTGCTGAGCCTCCCAGCGAGCACTCGACGGGCGAACCCGGACACGGGAGAGATGACAAGGTTGGGGTTCATCCACGCTGCGCCTTTGGTCCGGTTTGACCACAACAGAAACATGTTTCGGGAGCTGAAGGCGCTGCGGACGTGCGAGGTGTGTTGATGTGCTACTGTGCGCGTAAGTTTTGTCGCGTCTTGCTTGTTGTTCCAATCAATTGGTGTTGACAGTCACGGGAACGAAGCAGTGCCATCATCTACGTGAGGGGCGCAAGCTCGTCGGTTGAGATACATAGATGAATTGGCGTCCGGCTTGATGAAATATATCCGATGAAGCATACGCGGCCGCGGACACGACTTATCTTTTTTTGCTCCCAGCTCACGGCACAGGTAGGTACTGCTATTGTAGCGCAAGGTTGCTCCAAGTCACGCAATATAATAGTTGCTGCACCTCAGCAGTCATCACCCTTGGATCGATGCGTGAACCTGTGAAACCGTATGTTTTACTTACCGCGCGCTCCACTGCGGGGGAGAGTGGAGCAGGGGACTGGGAAAACGGTGTGCCGCAGTTTCCGCAGTTCATGACGTCACGCATGTTGTCAAGTACCTGGTACTTCGAAGTGCGGTACATGTACTGCTGTAGTTGCAAGGCGAAAAAATGTTATTCGTCCAATGTCGAATGCCCAACCGCGGTTTGTCCTCGTAATATATTCTTGGGCACACTTTGCATTAGAGCTCACACGGGCGTAACCGGCATGCCGCGGTAGTCTGACCATCTCTCCGCGGCTCCCTACCTATGCATGCGTATGTTATAATAAGCAAGTAGATTCCAACATTTACCGCACCCTGCCACCTTGCCGCCTTGCCGTCCCACAAGGGTCACGCAGAAGAGAACCACGGCCGAAGTAGTGTAAGAAGTAGTGCACACGTGCACACCTGTGCACACGGCATTTGCTGTATCCAAGGGCCGGGGGCTATCGGCACCCCATTCCTTTCATGAGGGTGGGAATACTGCTGTAGCATGAGCCAGCTCGTACTTTTGCTGTAGATGGTAGGCTTCGACTAAACTGGAGGTTTGGACTCTTGGGCACCACTTCTTATTTTGCTCATGCTTCTTTCTGCGGGTCCGCAGGAGGAAAAGCTCGTCGGTGCTGACCCCGCCTAAATTTACGAGTCAGCCTCTTTTTACCGTAGGCGTGTTCTGCGACATCCCTTTTCGACTGCAGTGGTTGTTTTTTGTTTTTTGTTCTTTTATCTCAAATGGTTTTTTTTTTATTCTAGATGCGTATGTATGTAGGCATATATTTTATACAAAGAAAGAAGAGCCTGGCGAACCAAAGTTGAACCCATAAAGTTGCCCCGTCTGCAAGAAAGACCAGTTGCCAACAACTTTGTCACCGCAGATGAAGCTGGAATTGTTTTGTACTTTACAACAACGCGAAATACTCCACAAACATTCATGTCTTCCACAGATGAGAGTCCGGGATAGGTTAGCAACGGATCTGAAGGGTTTCTCCACCGCAAGACACGAGAAACGACGTGTTTGCCCGAAAACTGATCGTCCATGGCTGAACCCCCAAAATTTATCGCGAGTTCCTTTGTATCAACTGCAACATTACTAAATTCTTCGAACTCGCGTCGATCCTCCCGACCCACCAGGAACTGGAGTTCGTTCGAAATAAGCTGCGCGGATTTGGCCGCCAGATCAAATTTCGTGCGGAAGTGGCCAACGCCATGAACTTGACGAGGCTCCTACACTCGGGCTGCCTGTTGCTGCACTACGCGGGCCATGGCAACGACGAGTACCTGGCCTTCGAATCCACCACTGAGTGGAAGTGCGGGATTATGGAGCCGCTCAAGGTCGGCTGTCGACGTAATAGAGACCGATTTGAGCGTCGTTACACGTTGTTCGGCGTCGTTGTGCTTTCCCTTTTTGAGCAGTAGAACGGCGCAGCGCAATAACGCGAACGATGCCGTGTTTTCGCAAGATCAGATGGATGCACCGCAATTTCCCATGGATTCTGCGTGACAGTCTTCTCCTGAGTGACCCCGGCTGATACATACGTCGAGCATCTACACGGAAAGATCTGCAGATCGGCGCCAGAATACAACGGAACAAACACATTACACACTGGTCGGTACAATAGAACCGTTCGACTAGAAAGCGCGTTCGCGATTTATTGTCCCTCCCGCTTCTCAGCAGCGCAAAGACTGAGGTCTTTTCATGTGCTAGCGCAGTCGATGCCAAATAAACACACACGCCCATACTGATGGAGCACTAGCACCCTCCATGGTAATTAAACTAGTGCTATTCAACACACTCTCTGATTGAGCTCTACCCTGATTCCACACACTACATAGGTGAAGTATCTCAAGAACCTATTCCGAGTGGATGGCATCGTGAAGACGCAGCTCGTGTTCATCAGCTCGTGTTCGTCGGAGGCGAGCGGGAACGTCTTCGTGGCGGCAGGCGTGCCGCACGTCGTCGCCGTCAAGCACAACGCGGGGGTAACAGGTAGGCTTCTGGCGAGAACAGACTACGGCGCACCGCCCGCCGGCCACATGCGACCGCAGCAGTTGGGAGCGGGTCCTTCTGCAGAGATGGACCCCGAGATGAGAATGTGTTACAGCAGTACCAAGTTTTGCACGACATTGCTGCAGAACATTGCTGCAGAATCCGTCTCTTCCTACCGGTGTTATTGTCATCTTGACAGCCTAGCACGAGCACCAGAACCAAGAATGTCCGCAACCCCCCCCCCCCTCCCATCACATGATCTCGCGACCGCACCGTATCGCCGTTGCAGCTTCCTGCTGCCGGGTATCGTGGCCATGTCATGCAACGCACCCTCCTTCTACACCAGTTTTTTCCCGTCCGTCCTTTTGTGGTCTGTTTTTTTTGTTGTGTGTTTCAGACGGGGCGGCCCGGGAGTTCGCAAACGTCTTCTACAACGCGCTCTTCGAGAACGGCGGAAGGAGCACCGTGAAGCAGGCCTTCGACATGGCGCTCAACTGCGTCAACGCCACGCACCTCGGCGCACCCAAGCACGAGGAGGACCTGTTTCTCCTCCTTCCCAGAGGCAAGAATGAAAGTTTTGAACTTGTGTGCCGCAGAGCGTTTAAGGGAGTGGCGGTTTCAGCGCGCCCGGTTCCAGGAAGACCAGCCTCCGTGGTTCAGGATTTTCTTGGTATTTCTAATTTCTGTCTCAGAAATATCCAGGATCGTCCCCAGAGTTGCGACTTTGGGCGCTATTTCTGGTGATGGACACGATTTTCCTATCTCGCCCGTGGAGTGTTCGCAAAATAATCGCTTTTGAGATGATCACCAACACCTTTGGAGTAACCCCCCCCCCCCCGCCGCACGTGCAGATGGGAACCACGACGTCCGGATCTTCGACACGCTGCCGGAAGGGAAACTGGTAGACGAGACCCACCGGCTGCCCCCCCGCCCCCCGTGCAAGAAGGCTGTATCCTCCTACATGGGTCCAGCGAGGGTCCAGGTGTGTCGTGTTGTACTAAATCGTTGGTTTCCTGGCATGGCGTGCCTGTTTCTGCCCTCCACATGTTGGTCCGTCGACGGCGTTGTGTGAACGGCTGCGACATTCAGAGCTACCCGTTCCCGCAGGCGCCGACGACACTTCGCCCCTTGGAACACCCGAGCCTTACTGTGCGCCATCTCTCGCACCTCCGTCTTTGTCTCGAGCTAGTATGGAGTATCCCGTTGGAGTATCCCGTTGGCTGTGAGTCCCGCCGACGTCTCAAACGCCTCCTACGCGCATACGCGCACAGGGTGTACAGTCCGAATAGCGCAGCAGCAGGAGCACACAGACCGGTCTCAAGAAAGCTACACACGACCCAACCAAAACGAGGGACCCCAAGGGGACCCCGCGTGTTTCACTGATTCCTGTCGTGTTTGCTTCCGTTTTTCCCTCTCTTCTCGGTCACGCAGCACGTGGTCAGGTTGTTGCTGGACGAGAGGGCGGCGTGCGTGACCGTCACCGGCGACCCCGGGTCCGGCAAGACGGAGCTGGCCATCCAGGCCTGCGACTACGTGAGGTACAGGCACCACTTCAATTCCTTCCTGTGGGCGGACTGCGACAAGGCCGCCCTCGACGCCAGCCCCTACAACTTGGTCTCCTCCGCCGACCGGTTTTACGTCTTGCCAAACTCGCCCAACGGCGCGTCTGGAGACTCGGTCTCCTCGGAGGACCTCTGCCGGCAGGTGAGACCCCGCAGCAGTCTACGCAGTTTTTTTTTTTTCTACGCAAGCAAACAAACTGGATGAAGCATAGAACCGGCTACGTTGGGCCAGGGTAGGTGGCCAGGGTAGGGTCTGCGTGTGCGCCCTGCCTGGCGGTTTTTTCGTAGTAACCTTACCTTCTTCGCCTTCTTTGCGTAGGCAGTCCATGGGGGGGGGCGTGGGTGCACGCATCCGGTTTCCCTGGCTTTTGGCTTTGAAGAGTGTTCGAATGCCGTTGCTCTTAATGACACAAGTGCTTCGTAGATATCGTAGATCGCCAGCGGCGTTCGCTGGTCGATCGGTAGCAGTAGTAAGTACACAGCTTGGAGGGGGGATTTGCAGCGTCCAACTTCGAGTTGTGTTGGGCAGGTGTTGTAACCTGCTAGCCTCCATCGTTATTGCGTACCCTTTACGGATGGTTCTCGACGCTGCGACGGGGGCGTGTTCGGAGAGGAAGGGGGGTTCGCAACCAGGATCTCGTGGGGGGGGGGGGCAGAATTATTGCACCGAACGAGAACTAGTTAAGAGAACGAGCCGTAACGATGGCGGCACGGTGCTTGTTCCCCAGTTTTGCATGTTCACGCGGCAAAATGTCTTGCGAAATTTCCTCTCTTGGATGCCCGACGACGACGCATTCTTCGCAGATCGGGGTCGCCATCGGCATTCCCCAGCCTGGACCGAGCACTACGAATGAGTTACATCAATTCATCTTCCCCAACACCGATTCGGGGCAGCCTTCCCAGAAGGTGAGGCGTGATGCGGCTCTGTTTCTTGTTGTTGATTTTGGTCGGCGTGGGCTTGCTTTTTTGGTTCTGGCACCAGCTACATATATTCGAAGCCTTGGCTTATCGGTACTAGCGATTGTCAGTGTGACATATTTTTCGTCCTTTCTTGTCTCACCGTGCGTGCTTCCGCTGCTACCGCTGCTCTGCTACCGCGCGTCTCTCTCTGTCCCGTCCTCGCGGCCCGGCCCTTCCTCCATTCAGGTCCTACTGGTGCTGGACAATGTCGACTCGCTGCTCGAGCGGGGCGGAGACGCCCAGGACCGTCTCGTGCATCTCCTGGGCGACCTCTGCTCCATGGGCGGCGGGGGCCACCTGAAGCTGCTCGCGACGAGCGAGTACAAGCTGCTGAGCGGCAACGAGGTCTTCCACGGCGGCACCGAGAGGGTGGCTGAGGTCGAGCCCCTGGAGACCCGGCACGCCTCCGAATTGCTGATAGACAACTCCCCGCGGGACTTGCAGCCGGAGGAGCTCGGTCTCCAGAGCGGTGGCCTCTCGAAAGCCCATGTCGTGAGCGCGGCGCAAAATCACCCGGTCCTTAAGGAGGTGTTGGAGATTGCGGGGGGTCACCCGGGGACGCTGGTGAGAGGAGAACTCGATTTTGTTTCGCTGGTGACCGACCGCTCTAGTGAGCGGAGGAGAAAGAGGGGGTGTGGTGGGGCGCCTGCGAGCGTTTTCGTCGGCATCACCGTTTCGCTTTTTGCGACGAAACCCTCTTGCAGCTTTGCAGATAGGTTGGGGGGCCCTCCACTGCTTTGACAGAATCCGGCGTGTTTACAGATCACGCTCGCCTGTCTTGATTGCTCGCGCGACCGACCGCTTGTGTTCCTCTGTTGTCCTTCAGGTGCGGCTTGCTCCGGTACTCCTTAACGGGCCTCTGGACGACGCTTGCAAGCTGAAAGAGATGGCGACTAGGTTAGTCTTTGTTGCAGCGAGAGTCATGGTCGGGGCGGTGTTTGATTGGCTGTTGTTCTTGGGAACGCTATTGTATGTGTTGAGCAGGAGCAGCAGCTCCAATCAGTGGCAATCTTGAGGGTGTGAGCGGTTCGCGTCCGTGAAACTTCGTTTTCCTCGTGCAACATCCGTACCGCAAGAGTTGGTGCAATCCATGTCTGTTCTTGCCGCCGCGTAGTTTTTTGCCCCACTTGCCACCTGAGACAATGACGCAAACCCCCGTCGCCCGTCGCCCCCCCCCCATCACGTGCCTCAACCTCCCTTGACGACATTACCGGACGGTTTAACCCTCGAACCCCCCCACCCATTCCCGAGAGAAGTTGCCGTGCGGACTTCAGAGACAAATCTTACCGGCGAAGAGGGCACCGACGCTCCGGCTCCGGCACTTCTGCAGGCAGCAGCAGCAGCCTCGCGATGATCGCGAGAGAGATGAGCGAGGCCGGCAGCTCCCTGGGCACAAGCGCCCCCACTAGTAGGTCCCAGTGCGGTTCCCCGGCTCCGGCAACGCCCTCGCAGCGCCCGGCAATGGGAAACGCCTTCAGCGAGGACGCCGGCCACGGGCGAGACCGGAAACGCGTCTCCTTGAATCGCACAAACAGCAGCATCGACGGCAGCGGCGGAGGCGGAGGCGGGGCGGCCCACGCCTGGCCTTTTCCGCCGTATCCAGACGAAGAGGACGGAGGGGGAGGACTCCCGAGGGCCCACGGCAGCGGCCCGACGGGGCGGTGCCGGAACCCCAGGTGCCACGGTCGGCCGCAGCAGCAGCCCTCTTTGGGCCAGCAGTCGGGGTCGCCCCCCGGGTGCTGCCTCCGCCACCAGTTCGCCCAGGAGCTCCGAGACAGAGTCGCCATGATGCACCGCCGCCAGATGATGGCGCGGGAGGCGCTCGAAGAACAGCCCGAACTCCCCCAGATGAACATGGAACAGCAGCACGCCTGGGACATGGCGGAGGCGGCCGGGGTCGAGCGAGGCTGTCGCCTCTTGTGGGTCACTGCCACGTCGAACATGGCGAATGACTGGCGACGAGACAACGGCGGCGGTGGGGGCAATGGGTGGTGGGCCTCGAAGCGGGGAGAATTCGTATCGTGGAATCACCTCCGGGAGGGCCTGCAGCGGAATCTGGATGTACGGATGACTGTCCCTTGCAGCAGCAGCGGCGGCGACCGCCACGATGCCTTGGAAGGTACCCAATACACCTATCTCGACGATGGGCAGGAGGTTGACTCCGAGGAAGTTGAGGTTGACAACGACGAGGACGAGGATGAGGAGGACCAGGAGCGGGCGGCAGGGGGGGAGAGAAGGACCGGAAACAGGCGCATGGGGCCGTTGCCTCACGCCACGCGCGTCTTGGACAGGTCACAGTGGGGCTTCATCCGCGGCATCCTTCGCAAGAAGCAAAAGGAGTTGGCCAACGCCGGGGTACAAACGGTGGATTGCACGGAGTACCGGTTGGACGGCCGTTACGACTTCATCTCGGTCGAAACGTTCGCGAAGTTTTCGCGTTGGTGGGTTCCACTGATGGGGACGCTGGGCATAATCAGGAACGACTGGGCAAGGACGCGGCCCGTTTTCGTGCACGGGTTCATCGGCAGGCTCGAGACGGACGAGAACCTCAGGAGGGCGCGCGGGGCGTTCTTGCTGAGGTTCAGCGAGAGTCACCCCGGGAAGCTGGTCATCAGCCGCGCGTATCATGTGAGCAGCACCTCCTGTGGCTCCTCTCGTTTGTTCCTCGGTGGTGCTTGGTGTCGTTCACGTGGTGTGCTGCGCTGGCCGAATTACTCGCTCGGTGATTGCATAGCTCAAAGGTGGCGCGTGTTTTCATGCTCTCCACCTCGTATCCTAACAGACCAATGGTTTTCCGTGACATCGCACTGCTTCCTTGTGTGACGCAACGAGTGTGTTGCCCAAATCCCTAACCCCCCCCGCCGCGCCCACACAGCTCGCGCTGATCCAGTCCCGTTGCCGGTGCGTCGTGCTTCCACCATGTTCCAAAAGCACACACACAATACACGCAAACGAACACGGCGTAACATTAGAGACCTCGGCCGCCACGCGCGTTTCCCTTCACGTACACCACCGTTTCAGTTTGCCCTGGAGAATAAGGGTAGCCTCTCTCACTTGACGCCCCTCACGGGACGCGGGAGTATGCATGGCCTTTTTTCGGAGCTATTTACTGTAGCTCCTTCCTTTTTTTTCCCTGAGGCGCCAACGTGTTTTCATTTGTCAATGGGTTGGCGCGGCCAGTTTCAACAGGAATTTTTTTTGTCAAGGACATGCACACATTTGGTCAGCCGGTTCGCGCGGTCGGTGAGACAGACACACATGCGCGTTTGGTCAGCCGGTTGTTTCACGGTCGATGCTAGCTAACAAAAGACACGCACACGATGCTGCATCTGTTGTTGTTTCCTTGTGGATTCATTGGTGGGCCGACCGCCTGGACGTGCAGCACTCCCTCGTGGAGGTGACAGAGGGAGGCCGATGCTACATGACGGTGAACCAACAGGGTACCAGGCGCGAGTACGAATCGCTGCACGACCTCGTGACTCAAAACGGCCAGCTCAGGCACCTCTACCAGGACATCCCGATGGAGCAAGTCTTCACAGGAAGAGCTCCAGCGGCGCCGGAAACCGAGACAGAGGGGGCACCGGAGGCGCGAAGAGAAAACGGTTACGAGCTCGGTGCCGCAAGTTGAGGTTTCCAACACTAAACGGTGTTGGGAGGGCGACGGCGCTATTTTTGTTGCCCCCCCGTTGGAGAGGCAAGCAAGAACAACATACAAGTATTAGTTTACCCGGGGTGGTGACGCCATTGTACTACCGGCGCAGGCAGGATTTGTGTCTGGCGCGCAATGTAAATGGGGGTTGCCGGCGACGGTTCGAGCCTGAGTCGCGTGTTTATTTAATTTGGTTGTTTTCACTCGTCGGCACGTGCTGATGACCGTGCCAACGAGAAGAGGTATTTATTCGAGTTTGACGATAACTCAGGGCCTTTCGCAGCAACGGCTGACGATGACACGTGTTACTGGGAACAACACGGTGTTACTAGTATAGAGAGGTGAGAGCTCGGATGAACGTGCTTTGCGTAAGCATGAGCATGCGCTTTTGCACAAGATCGGCCTGTTCACAGCCGGAGTGTGCCAGTCTTGCCTCCTTGCGCGAAAAGCCCCCTGGTGTTTGATACCCTAGTCTTGCGAGGCAGATTCCCATCCATGCGGCCGGGAAACCAGGGGAAAAGGGGGGTTGTTCGCTCGCTCTTGCGTGGGTTCTTGACCTTCAGTTAACCTCGAAGAAACGCACGTGTTGTCCTAGCGTCTCAACCTGCGATAGTACAGGCAGGGGTATGTCGAGCCGCATTTTTTGTCCGGCTGGTGTTGATATTTAGCTGTATCCGGAAGAAAAGCACAGAGGGCATGATGAGTGGTGCATTAAAGTGTGTTGCGTCATACATGCGGTGTTGCCTGAGAGTAGAGTACTACTCCGTTGTGCCTCCGACAAAGAGTCACCCTTGCCAGTGCCCCGTCGATTTACGCGTTTGAACGCACAGAGTGTCTTATGCTTGATGTTTTTAGGATACTTCCTCCGTGACTGTTGTTGTCCAAGGTTGCATTTGTTTCTTATTTTTTGTTTTCACGTGGCCACGATCACAACGTTTATTTTTTGGTGCGTATAGTATATATGTTTGTTGCGTTGGTCTGTTCCAAATTATATGTTGTTACAATATTTTGTTAAAGCGCCAAATGACTCGTGGCGCAAAGGGTGGTCTCTTTTTGTTGCCTGTTGGTGTTGTTGAAGTGCTCCTGCGTCCTCCCTGCGTGTATGTGTGCAACGAGCAAGGCGGGCATCAAGCCCCAAAATGTCTCGCACCACCCCGCGATCTCGGTAACGGTTGCTCGTAAGCCCCCTCCCCCTTAGTTGAGTTTGCGTTGCCCCTCCAGCACACCCCACGAGTCCAAGGCGTAGGTACACGTGACCCGATACATTTTTTTCGCAGCAGCAGATCCGAACTAATTACCATGAATTCGGGTGCCGTCATTTGTTTCGCTCAGTAACGCTGAAGTCCCACGTGGGTCATGGGGGGCATTTAGAACATGGTGGTGGTGTAAGAGTGTGCATCGAAGGTATACATGTCACGTGTGACTCACGGTCTGAGGATGTTTGGCGTTTTTTTGAAGTGCCGACGAGAAGGTTGTTCTCTTTCGAGTTTTGATTTGTGATATGTGATGCTGCCACCACTGCAGCTGGTTGCGGCCTAACTACTTGTTTTGGCTCCACCACTTATCATTTTAGCACGGCCTACAGCAGTTCATCGTGTTTTTCTTTTCATTTCAAACACACGGGTGTTCCCCACGCTCTCGTCAAGAGTAGATTTGTCGCGTTATACATCGCGGGCGAGAACTAACACCGCTTACTTGTTGTCGCGTGTCGGCCGTTTCGTATGATCGGAGACGGGAGTTATCCCTCCACAGACGCGTCGCTTTCGGGGCGAAACCAGAGTATGAAATGTGCCGAAAACCCAAGGACAGTTTCAAAAAGGAACACATTCATTCCTACCGGGCACAGTTCCGGGAGTCAGAAAGTTTGTGGCAACGAGGCGATCACATTGGCACACCTCCGCAAACGTCGTCCCGTCAACAAAAATCGGGATTAGTCCTCCCCGTTGGCTCGTGCCGCTATTTTTAGCCTCCACCGTGGTTCACCTCACAACACTACGTGCACTATGTTGGTGGGCGTACGTACGTAGCAACATATAAAAATCCCGACAACTAAATGTGTTAAATCGGTCTCGGCCGGTTCCTGCTACCGTCTCAACGCACACGCGCAGGACACGTTCTACCAAACTCTAGCCATCCACCGCAGGGACCACCGCGACACCACCCATGCAAGCCTTATCCACGATATAACCCCACACGCGCGTGCACGAGGACAGTAAGCAACTGGCGCCTCGCTCCATGGAACCTACCGCCGTGCCCGAGGCGGGAGAGACGCCGGGCCGACAGGCTCCAAAACCAGGTATGGTCGGTTGTTCAGGCACCAAAACCAGGTTTGGTCGCTAATCGTTGCTGGTACGTGGCGGTGTTAAGCGTAAGGAGCCGGCCGTCCGGGCATTGATGTCGCGACGCACTTTCTCAGCAGCAGCACGTTCATCGACTTGAGATAAAAACACTGCGTACACTTAACACCACCTTGCAATACCTGGATACCAATGTCGCCCTGCACTAGTTACAGCGACAGCCAGCCGCTGGGCGCTCCACGACAAGGGCGCACAGGATGACCCCTCCCCCCCCCCCCCA